CATGAGACAAGTGCTCGGGCCTGGTGCACTGGGAAGACCCAGAGGGATCGGGTGGAGAGGGAGGTGGGAGGGGGGACTGGGATGGGGAATACATGTAAATCCATGGCTAATTCATATCAATGTATAACAAAAACTACTGTAATGATGTAAAGTAATTAGCCTCCAACTAATAAAAATTAAAAAAAAAAAAAGATCACATTTACTTCAGCCATTTGTTCTTTGCTCTTTATTCTCTATAAGTATTGATGCCTCAATATGAGCTAAAATAATCCACTCCTTACATCACTAGAACTATTTCTCATATCCATCCCTTTCTTTCCTAAGGGACAAAGGTATCTTCAGATAAAGTGGACATTTGCCTTAAAAACATGGGAATTGATCTCACAGAGGAAGAAATCCAGGAACTAAAGGACCACCTACCAGTTTATGGTGAGAGTTTTGATATCAATATACCCCTTAGCAAAACTTTGGATATGAGTCCAGTGTCAGGGCTGGAATGACTAAAGATATGATGTATAATACATGAAAAGAAGAAAAATAGTGAGGCCTTCAGCACAGCTGAAGCCAAGTAACTATCACTCGGGGAAGATCACCAAGAAGGCTGCCCAATATAGATGACAAGTGTCACTCTCCATAGGAAATGCCAAGGACTAACAAGAATACTCAAATCTTTAATCATTGGGTTGTTGTGGGTTTTTTTAAGAATGTAGAGGATTTATTGAACTAGAGATTTTGTAGATTTCAGAGAACTAGTGTCAACACTTCAATCCTTGAGTCCCTGCTGTTAATCCAGCATTAAAAAGTAGTGTGCAACACTTACATAGTCCTGGCATGTGCAAGGCACTGTTCTAAGCAGTTTACTATATCATTTAACTTCCAAACTACTCTATAAGTTCCATTTTAATGCTTAATTTATGTATCAGGAAACTAAGGCACAGAGAAAACAAGTAGCTTGCCTAGAGTCAGAGAGCTAGTGGTAGACAGGCAATCTGGCTCCAGAAACTGTCTTTCAACCACTCTGCTAATATTGCCACGAACTACAGAATTAATGATCTTAAGAAGATGTATAGTGAAGTTACCAATTGGCATTAAATTTGGCATGTGTTAGACTGTGGTGTTGGAGAAGACTCCTGAGAGTCCCTTGGACTGCAAGGAGATCCAACCAGTCCATCCTAAAGGAGATCAGTCCTGGGTGTTCATTGGAAGGACTGATGTTGAAGCTGAAACTCCAATACTTTGGCCACCTGATGCGAAGAACTAACTCATTTGAAAAGACCCTGATGCTAGGAAGATTAAAGGAGGGAGGAGAAGGGGACGATAGAGGATGAGATGGTTGGATGGCATCACTGACTCAATGGACATGGGTTTGGGTGAACTCCGGGAGTTGGTGATGGACAGGGAGGCCTGGCGTGCTGTGGTTCATAGGGTCGCAAAGAGTTGGACATGACTGAGTGACTGAACAACAACAAAGCATTTATGGAACATCACTCTTGAACAAACCATTAAACTGGTATCTCACCCTTGGGGGAACTTAAAATCTGAAGAATATTAAAAATAATACAAGAATGCAAACACATTTGAGCAGTGATGAATTGGCACCCTTGACCAAGTCATAAGTGGAGAATGAGCTTGTCCATGGGCAGCTTTAAGGTTGCAAACTGAATCTTGCCTGTTAGTGTAATAGCATTTTTTTACTATTAAGGGCAAGAGGAGAAGGGGGCAACAGAGTATGAGATGGCTGGATGGCATCACCCACTCAATGGACGTGAGTTTAAGCAAATTCTGGGAGATAGTGAAGGACAGGGAAGCCTGGCATGCTTCAGTTCATGGGGTCCCAAAGAGTCGGACACAACTTAGCAGCTTAACAATAATCCTTTAATTACTATTGTAACATCCCAATTTAGTGTTTCTTAAACTTTCAGTTTTATAAACTTATTAAAATGTATCTATTGATATCCAATAGCTTCTGGTTTTATTTTGAGAAATACTGACTAAAGAAACTAAGTTAATGGTCCATGAAAAAAGTCTTTCCATTGAGAATGGGTACTGCAAAACAAAAATTTTGTCAGTAAACAGAACAAATATAACTTGGAAGTTTAACCAAATACATCAACATGATGATGATTGTGTTAGCAAGCTAAGAGCACCAGACATGCACACCAGCAGTCTGTACTTTAAGGGTATCACTTGGTGCCAAGGTGAACATAAGCCCAAAGGTAAAGTCAACACTGGTGAAATGGAGACATAATTTTTAAACAAAATTTTTAAATTCTCAATAAGTTTCAAACTCCTGTCTGAGAAAGACTAACCTAATAAAAGAGTCTCTCACAGGAAAGGAGAGTACTTTTTTTTTTTTTTTAGGAGAGTACTTTAAACATTGCTCATGCACTGTGCTGTGTGGATTTTTTATAGAGTAAAATGCAGGAACTGTTTTAATTACAAGTATGATCTCTGACATGAAAAGCTAATAAACTTCTAGGGAAATGTTTTCAAATGGTTGAATTTGGGGATTTTGCTTCACAATTTAAGGATTTCATATCATTTTTCTAAAAAAAATTTTTTATTTTTTATCTTTAAGATAATGAGAAGATTGATTTAAATGTGTTGGTGGATAAAGTTAAAAATATTACAGGTGAGCGAGATATTACAATTATTATTTGGTCTTGAAGTTTTATATGGAACTGTATTTTTAATATAATAGTGTTTCCTTTCTTTACTAACTCAACAACTATTTATTCAGCACTTACTACATGCCAGGCATTGTTTGAGGCATTTACAGTACATCAGTAAACAGAACAAATATAACTTCCCCCACCGAGCTTACATTGTAGCAGAGGAAATAAGCAGTAAACAATAAATGTTATAAATAAGTGCATTATATAGTATGTTTGAAAGTGGTAAATTCTATAGAGAAGAATGAAAAGTAGACTACAGTAAAGGAGACTGGGAGAGCAAAGTATGTTGGGAAAAGGAGCAGTTACGGTCTTAAATAAAGAATTGGGTCTCTTTAAGATGGTGACATTTGAGCAAGTACCTGAAGAAGGTATGAGTTTCAGTCATGTGGGGACTTCTGGAAAAAGAGTGTTGCAGGCAAAGAAAATAAGTACTAAGGCCCAAAGGTGGGAGCATATCTGGGGTATTCAAGAAACAGCAAGAAGGCCAATGTAGCTGAAGTTGAGTAAGTGAGGAAAACAGTAATAGGAGATGAGAAGAGGGACGTGATGGGTACAAGATCAGCCATCACCATGAAAGCCCTGACAGATCTTGGGCTTTTTTTCTAAGAGAAATGGGAAGCCATTGAAGGATTTAGAGCTGAGGCATGATATAATCTGACCTAATCTTTCATCAGATCTTTTCAGATTCTGTGTGAACAGATGGTGGGGTGAAGCAGTGGAGGTGGGGGAAGTGGAGGAAAGAAACCAAGAATAGAAACAGGGAAACCATTTAAGAGGCTTTTAGAGTAATCCACGTTAGAGATGATGGTTTTTAATACCAGGTTAGATAACAATAAAGTGATGAAAAATAGGGATTTTCCTGGAAGTCCAGTGGTTAAGATTCTGGGCTTCAACTGCAGGGGACACAGATTTGACCCCTGGCCTTGGGTGGGGTGAGAACTAGATCCCCATTTTGCCTGGAGTCACTGCCAAAAAAAAAAAAGTAATTGAATTTTGATATATTTTAAAAGGAGCCACTGTGATGGATGTTAACTAGACTTATTGTGGTGATCATTTTGTAACACAACGTACACAAAGAAATCCTTCAGACAAAGAGATACTGGCAATTGAAAGTTGGACTAGTGTGCATTGAAATGGCAAAGGTTAGAGATTTGGTCAGTGCATCTATAACATCTACCGTATCAGAGTAGAGGGTAAATCAACAGAGTTAAATGCTGCTGATAATCCAAGTAAGATAAGGGCTGAGAATTGACCATTGTGTATAGCCACATGGAGATCACTGGTAGTATCAAAAAGAGAAGTTAAAAAAGAGAGAGAGAGACGTTGTAGGTGGTGAGAGTGGAAAGAAGCCTAATTGAAGGATGTTTAATAGAAATTGAGAGGATAAGATTTAGAAACAGTGAATATGGAATTTCCTGGTGGTCGGTTTTTAGGACTTCTTTCAGTTCAGTTCAGTTCAGTCACTCAGTCGTGTCCAACTCTTTGTGACCCCATGGACTGCAGCACGCCAGGCTTCCCTGTCCATCACCAACTCTTGGAGCTTACTCAAACTCATGTCCATCAAGTCAGTGATGCCATCCAACCNTTTAATTAGAGAGATAAAAGAAGTTGTGATTAAATAGAGAAGAAGGAAGTGGTGGTTTGAAAGAGAAGTGATGTGAAGCAGTCAACAAGAAGAGTGGGAAAGTTAATGGACCAGCCGAGTATGGTGTGATTGCCCGACAGAAATAAGGACCTACTTGAGCTTCATGGTCATCAATTTAATGTGAAAACAGCATAGTTAACTTTAACTCTGTGCAGCTACATGGCTGCAGACACAGAATAAGCTGCTGCTGCTGCTGCTAAGTCGCTTCAGTCGTGTCCGACTCTGTGCGACCCCATAGACGGCAGCCCACCAGGCTCCCCCATCCCTGGGATTCTCCAGGTAAGAACACTGGAGTGGGTTGCCATTTCCTTCTCCAATGAGTGAAAGTGAAGTTGCTCAGTTGTGTCCATCTCTTCGTGACCCCATGGACTGCAACCTACCACGCTCCTCCGAAAAGGGATTTTCCAGGCAAGAGTACTGGAGTGGGGTGCCATTGCCTTCTCCGACAAAATAAGCAGACACTTCTTTTAACCAGGAATGGAGTTTTGCCGAGTGTATTAAAAGCAAGAGTAGAGCAATTTAAATGCAATCTTCCACAAAATTTAAACATGCTTATCACTTTCTTTGCTCACCGTTGTTTTTTACTTCTACTTTTTTTGGGGGGTTGACTTTATTCTTCCTACAAGTAAATTGTTCTTAGTACTTTCAGCAAGAGTCAGTCTTTGTCTGAAAAATCTTTATTTTACATTCATGCTTGAATCATGGTTTGACTAAGTCTAGACGTGTAGATGGTCATTTTACCTTAGAATACTGACATGTGCAGCTACTATGGACTTCCCAGTTGGTGCTAGTGGTAAGGAACCTGCCTGCCAATGCAGGAGACATATTGGTCCCTAGGTTGGGAAGATCCCCTGGAGGAGAGAATGGCAACCCACTCCAGTATTCTTGCCTGGAGAATTCCATGGATAGAGGAGCCTGGCAGACTACAGTCCATAGGGTCACAAAGAGCCAGACATGGCTAAAGCAACTTTGCACACATGCATGCATTCAGCTACTATGTCTGAAAAAAGTGTAATGAAACTGGTTCCACAAGGCTGAAAAATTGAAAACTTGATTCACCTACTGCTTCAGGAACTACCTTCATCTGCCAGCCTTACAGACTCTCTAGCATCCCCTATTCACAGAATTTAATATAGAGCCAGCTGGCAAAACAGAAATGTGATCTAGAGTCCCACACATAAGGGCTTCCCTGGTGGCTCAGATGGTAAAGAATCTGCCTGCAATGCAGAAGACCCAGGTTCAATCCCTGGGTCAGAAGATCTCCTGGAAAAGGGAATGGCAACCCACTTCATTATTCTTGCCTAGAGAATTTCATGGACAGAGGAGCCTGGCAGGCTACTGTCCATGGGATCACAAAGAGTCAGACATGGCTGAGTGACTAACACACACACACAAAGCAAAGCACAGAAGGGTAGGACCGGAGCACTGAGAATTAGGTCCTAAATCTCCTTTTGACTTCTCAGCTACAGACTCTTCTACATATATTTGAATTTAGCTTCCATATAAAACAACAAAAAACCTCTCTTAGTTTCCAACTAGTAAGATGCAGCTATCCTTCATACAAGTGAAATTTGTCTTCACTTTCTCCCCAGAATAAGAAGCAGCAAAGTTCCAACAGTCTATCTCTGGGAGACAGTCATACATCTCTGGGTCATGTTAATTACTTCCCAAATTTAGTTATAGCCCCATTTGGACATTGTTACTTAGAGACTAAGCTATAAAGTTAGCCTATAATAAAATTTGTATTTTAATTTAAAAGGGGAAAAAAGAGATAAAAGAACATACATACATGGATAGGTAGACTCATATGCACTGTTTCCTGGCCCTCTTTTTTGCCATAAAAAAAATTAACTCTTAAGTCTTCATTGCTTTTTGATAGTTAATCTCTTTTTCTCTTGTAACTCTTAAGATTATCTCTATCTTTGAAGTTCTCATTATCACATGGCCAAGTGTAGACTTCTTTATATTTTTCCTGCTTGGAACTTCTGATTCCTGAAACTGAACATTTATGCCTTTCATCAAGTCTGAAAATCCTCAGTCCTTACGTTTCAGTATTATCTCACCCCTCTTTTCTCTTTTTTCACTTTTGGAAACTCCTATTATATATATGTTAGACTTTCTTATTTGGTTTATCATATCTTTCTTTCAGCTTGCAATGCATTAATAATTGTATAAATATAATTTTATTCAAGGTGGAAATTTTTATAAGTCAATTTTTGTTATCATTATTAAAACTAATTCTATAATTTAGGCAACAGAAGTAAGCCAGAAAGATAAAGACCGTTACAGTATACTAACACATATATATGGAATTTAGAAAGATGGTAATGATAACCCTATATGCAAAACAGAAAAAGAGACACAGATGTACAGAACAGACTTTTGGACTCTGTGGGAGAAGGCGAGGGTGGGATGTTTCAAGAGAACAGCAT